TTTAAATATCGTTTTTATAAAGCTAGTAAAAAGTACAAAATTCAAGCATGCTGCTTCGTCACGTGACTGTCTTTCTACAGCGTACCCAAGACAGAGTGATCTAAATTGGTCACGTCACACACTCCTCTCCTAAAAAGAGTGTTCTCTAACATTACGATTTGAATGTTAACAAATCCGAGTGGATTTAGTTCTAAAATAAGCACTATTGTTCGAGTCCTTCATGTTCTTCAAGTCTAAATTATTAGGAATTTGCTGCTTACTGGCCAGGCAAACAACATCTTCGTCTGATATCTTAACTTTGTCCATTCTTTTTCACGTAATAACTAACAACTCTTCAATACTTCTGCATTGTAACAGGTTTTAAAGTAGTTTATACCTACTTATTATCGTAAAGTTCATAAACCAAATAATAATAATTGTTATAAATTTAAACGTCTAGTAACCCATGTTAAAGGGCATCAAATAATGTGAGTTCCAGCACGGACATTGGTAGATTACTGGAGGGTAGAAGGGATGAGGAAATGGAGGGATCCACGGAGGGAACCATAGTGGTGGAATAAACGGCGCCGGTGGCGGCAGTGGGTAACTCTGTGGATAGGTAAATGGGGAGAAGGTTGGTGTTGCATTAATTGACGACACGAAGTGTTCTGGGTTTCCAAGGTGGTTGTAATTTAAAGGGTTTGGTGCATACCTTACTCGCGTACTCCGTCGTGTTGGTGGGGCAGGTGGGGATTCGGTTGCAGGTTGCATTGGTTCTTCATTTTGTTGCTCTTCCAGCTGCGTGTTCAGGTTAGGCTCCTGAGTGTTCTCTGCAGCTTCGTTTTGCGCTATATCGTCTGCTGGATCCGCCGTATCAGGTTCACTTCGATCAACCGCTTCGTTTCCTTGTAATGAATCATTTTCAAAATTTCTCTGTTCAGGTAATATTTGAATCAAAATCTCCGAGTCATCACTATCACTTTCACACTGTTCTGCTGTTCCGCGTGCAGTTTCAATTGGGCCTTTACCCTTCTTTTGAACGGATTTTGGAATTGTTTTTTCTGGTAGTTCCGGTGTGAGTGGTAGGAAATCGCACGGTAACAAAAGATTCCGATGAAGTAATCGTTTCCTTCCGTCTTTCGCTTCTGGTTTCACTTCATACACGGGACTGTCCGGCGTGCAATTTACAACAATGTGAATGTCTTTCTCCCAGTGCGATCGCAACTTCCCAGGACCACCCCGTTCACTTAAATTCCTTACTAGTACACGATCACCAGGCTTTAACGTGGAATATCTCGCACCTTTATCATAATGTCTCTTTCCTTTTGAACTGTTTTTAGTAGCATGTTCGCTGGCGAAAGTATAAGCGTCATTCATTGCACTAGACCACTTTTTCACATAATCTTTGTGGTTGAGTCTGTCTTCAACTTTGTTACAACCAAACATCAAATCTATCGGTAATCTTGGAGAACGACCGAAAAGTAGGAAAAATGGCGAGAAACCGGTAGCATCATTTCTCGTGCAATTATATGCGTGGACAACTTTCGAGACATGTTGGTCCCATCGTCTTTTCTGATTCTCTGGCAGTGTCTTTAGCATGGACAAAAGCGTTCTATTGAATCTTTCTGCTTTACCGTTGCCTTGTGGGTGATACGGTGTTGTTCTCGATCGAATTATCCCAGACGATTTTTCTAATTGATGAAATAATTTATTCTCGAACTCCCGTCCCTGATCATGTAGAATCCGGCTTGGAAATCCGTATTTAAGAATAAAATCGTTGTACAGTTTTTCTGCGGCGGTTCGCGCTTCTTTATTCTTGGTTGGATACGCTTGTGCGAAACGAGTAAAGTGGTCGACTATTACGAGAATGTATTCGTACCCGCCAGTGCTTCGTTCAAGATGTAGGAAATCCATTGAGACGAGTTCAAGTGGCGCATAAGTAGTTATATTTTGCAATGGGGCACGCGTTTTCTTTGCTGGAGCTCGTTGTTTCACACAGCTACATTCCTTGGTTACAAAGTGCGTAATGTTCCTTTGCATGTGTGGCCAAAAGAACCTTTCCCTTGCAAGCTCAACTACTCTTTCAGCTCCCAGGTGACCCATATTCTGATGAAGCTCTTTGTAAACTGTCATACGATAACAATGTGGCAGCACCAATTGCATCACTGGTCCTCGTTTTCTCCTCAATATTCCGTCAGTTCCTATTTCTAATCTTTTCCATTCTCTCAGCAAAGTTTTAGCCTCTGGTGTTAGACGGTTTATCTCTTCCTCTGTTGGGTATGTGTTCTTTGCCTTTAACGTGCGGATTTTCCCGATGCACAGATCGCTGTCTTGAGCTCGAATAAATTCGTTAGGGTCCAATTTTTGTAGTGCACTTAATTCGGGTATTAATTCGCTTGTGTTCAGTACCTCGGGATTTGCTGTGATCGCAGTAATCCACGGTTCTTGTGCCTGAATTCCAATCATACACGCTTGTATGCTGTCTTGCGAAGTTTCTTTGGTGCACAATTTCATATATTCGTCTATGTCCATTGGCATTCTCGATAAGGCATCTGCGTCCTTGTTTGCTGCTCCAGGTCTATATTTGATGGTAAAGTTGTAGTCCGCTAATTCTGCGACCCAACGGTGCCCTGTTGCATTTAATTTCGCAGACGTTAACACGTATGTCAATGGGTTATTGTCCGTAAATATTGTGAACGACTTGGCATAATATAAATAATCGCGAAACTGTTCGCACACCGCCCATTTTAGTGCTAAAAATTCGAGTTTTCCCGAATGTAGATAATAGTTTTTCTCGGCAGGGGTCAGACTTCGTGAACCATAACCGATGACGCGCATTTCACTATTCTGTTCTTGGTACAACACTGCACCAAGTCCTTCCTGAGATGCGTCCGTATGTAAAACAAATGGTTCGTTGTAGTCTGGATATGCTAAAATTGGGGCACTCGTAATCCGCGTCACTAATTGGTCTAAAATTGAACTATGTTCGTCCGTCCATGAGACACTTTGGGAAGATGGTACTTGGGGTGTTTTCGATTTATTGTTACTCGGTTCATTTGATCGTTGGAGAAGGTCGAATAAGGGTTTTGCAACTCGAGAAAAATCCTGAATGTATCTTCTGTAGTAGCCTAACAATCCTAATAAATGTCGAACTTCTCCAACCGTTTTGGGTTGTTTATTCTTTAATGATAGAACCGCTTGTACCTGAGTTGGATCCATTTTATATCCGTATTCTGAAACAACTCGACCAAGACAATGAACTTCTCGACGAAACAGGTTACATTTCTTAGGTTTGAGCTTTACACCATGGTCTCGAAGGCGCCTTATAACAGTTCTTAGGTGTTCAACGTGTTCGTCGAAAGTCTTGCTAAAAACTATTACGTCATCTAAATAAGGTAAACATATTTCGTCTCGAAGTCCTTCCAGACATGACTCCATAAATCGTTGGAATTCTGCAGGGGCATTTTTTAAACCAAAAGGGATTCTTACCCACTCATAGAGGCCCCATGGGGTTATAAAGGCTGTCTTATGTTGATCCGCAGTCTCTATGAACCCTTGATGGTAAGCTTTCCCCTGATCTAAAAGGGAAAACCACGAGTTTCCGCCGATATTCTCGAGTGTTGTTTGGACTTTGGGTAGGGGGTGACGATCCGCAATAGTCCGTCTGTTTAGTTCTCTATAATCAACGCACAAACGTAAAGTACCGTCCTTCTTCCTAACACAAACGACAGGTGACGAGTAAGCTGATTTAGATTTACGTATAAATTTCCGATTTAGGAGATCCTCAATATACTGTTTTACCTCTGGATATAAGGGCTTTGGTATTGAATTATAGTTCTTTTGAACTGGGATGTTATCTGTTAAATTGATCTTCATTTTAAGTTCTTCACTACAACCGATATCTTCATCATCTCGAGAGAAACAATCTGACTCTTCGAGAAGCATTTGTTGAGCGACTAATTTTTGTTTCTCAGTCAGACCATTTAAATCAACTTCAGGTATCCAATCACCGTAAGAGGTCTTTGGGGTATTTGTGTTCAACTTATCATCATTTACTGACACTCCATTAACTTGTGCTTCTTTATCACACTTTTCCCTAACTTCAACAGGTGTAACAGATTTTACTAATTGCAATCGTCCAAGTATAGTTCTTTTTGGAAGCAAAATATCATGATCGGTGGAATTTCTCGCTTGAATAACCACCCGGGAGGAGAACCCACTATTTATGTTTGTCAATGTCTCTTCGATTTCAAGACCTGTGGGCCATGGTTGTTCAGGGTCTGGCTCAAACAGAACTGGGAGCTTACTTGTTGCATTCGACCGTGTGTTCGCTCTACAAGTAACACTCACTGTCTTGCCTTGAGGAATCAACACATCATGCTTTATAGTTTTAACCAAACACAGTTCACTACATTCATTTGTTTTTATAAGTTCAACAAGAGTTTTAATGTTTTTGGAATCAACTGTGGGAAAACTTGCTGTCATCGATGAAATAATGTTATTTGTCTTGTCAACTGGGTATTTGACTAGTTCTTCAATAACATTATATCCGATGATAGGGTGATCAAGATGATCAGACGCTACCAAAAGAGGCACTAAAACCTCTTCTCCAATTTGTGAGTTCAATAATTTAAGTCTCACCTCTATAAAACCTTTGTATGGGATAGACGAACCATTTGCTGCTTTGAGATCTAAATTGTTCTCCAGTAAATCTTCAATCGGATTAATCTTGACATCAGGAAAGTTTTTCATTACCCATTCATGCGAGGTTATTGAAACCTGAGCACCCGTATCCCACAATGCCTCAACTGGTACATCTTCAATTAAACACTTTACTAAACATCGATTACCAACTAGTTTAATCACATTGTTTTGCTGTGCTGGTGTAAGGTGGCTTACATATTGTCCCTTTTCTAACCACTCTTTCTCCTCTTTTGCATCTTTTATAACCATATTTACTATTGCATCACAGAAAGATTGGTGGTTTTTCCAATGGTCCGACTGGCACCTTTTGGAACAATAACAAACTGTTTTACACCGAGAACATCTTAGAATACTTGTACTGTTTTGTGACTTACCACAGTTTCCACATAAATGGGACTTGTTGCTATCTTGGACTACTTCCTGTCCCTCTGAAGGAGTCCTCGTCCGTTTCCCGATCTCTGTTTGCATCCCCTTGCATAGTGTTCATCCGAACCACATATATAACAATGGGTACATTTCCCATTTCCTTGTGACTTACACTTTGAGCAGGCTGGTCTCTGTTTCCCATCATTCCTGTTATTTGCAACCATAGAACTTTTGATATTAGCTATATCAGCTTTGACAGCCTCTAATGTCATCATTAAAGTGTCACGCTTGCCTTTCTCTCCACTTTGTACATTCTTGGATGCTTTCGACTCTTGCCCATCTTTATCATACATACAGGAATTAACCTTTGCAGCTTGTTTCCGTGACGACAAGGTTAATTTATTTAATCGCTCCGTCTCTTCAGACATTGCATCACCTACTCCCTTAATTAATTCCTCATCAGTGATGTCATGTTTCTTAAACAAAGGTCTCATCTTTGCACAAATGGTCTCACTCTTGATCCCTGTTTCCAAGGCTCTTAACAAAACAGTTTGAACTAACTCATGTGAATATTTAACATCTTCCTCCATTACACGGGAAGTAAATAACACTTGTTGTCGAAGCTCCAAGGCTCTTATTAAGAAATCTTCAGCACTTTCCTTTGGGTCTTGACACAAAATTGTCAGTTCATGATACAACTCTGTAGCACTCTTTTGTTTATAGTGTGCTTTTAGTATCTGGAGAAGTTTCTTTAATGTTAGTCCTTCCATTGTTTCGACATAAGACCTGAGCTTGAGTGTTGAACATATTGCTCGGATAACTGCTTCAATTACTTCGCTTTCAGTATACCCCTTAGATTTCCCCGACTCGACTTGACGGGTTAAACTAACAAAATCTGTCTTTCTGGCTCTCAGGGCCTACCATGCCAACAATCTTTAGTTCCCTACGATAAACAGTAAAAGAACCTGACTGACCACTACTTACAGTTACAACTTTTGGTGTAGTTTCTTTCAGTGGTGCTGGACTCTGAGAAGCAGCCACATCTCCAGTATTATCTTCAGTATCCTCAGTTGCGTCTTCCAGTGGCGGTGGTTCTATTTCTAGAAGCTCTTGTAGCTTGTGTAAATACTCAACTTTCTTAGGGACAGTTTGACATAATTCCACATTTTCGTCAATAGTTTTCCTCACTAGTTTAGATAAAACACGTCGACTTTTACCTTCTATGTTTTCTTCACCCAATTCTAACTTATTTGCCAGTTTAACAAGCTCATTTACATCCAGGGAAAGTATGTCCTCCTCAATTTTTAAGTTAAGTTTTTCAAAATTCTCTTCGCCCGCCATCTTGGATTTTTAACTTCGATATTTTCGGCTAATTCGCGTTCATTTTAAACGAATAACGTTGTATTTACTGTCCAATATTCTCTCGAAGTATATCGAGATCTCTCCGAAGGCTCCAAATTATGTTACCCGTTCAACTATTACGCGAAATACTACATTTTGTCGGTTTAAATATCGTTTTTTATAAAGCTAGTAAAAAGTACAAAATTCAAGCCTGCTGCTTCGTCACGTGACTGTCTTTCTACAGCGTACCCAAGACAGAGTGATCTAAATTGGTCACGTCACACTATCCTTATTAACATAACTGAATATTCGTTCGTTTTCGTTGAGTTGTGCATGTTAACTAATTGAACTAAATCCAAATATATGAAATTTCTGCATTTATTATATTCATTTTGATATCAATGGTGTTTCCTGCAATCTGATTGCTTCACAGGTGTACGATTTCAGCACGAATCGCACTCCTAGCAGTGCGATTCGTGCTGAAATCGCACCTTCTTTCTACCAATCACATTAGAGTGCTGACTTCAGCCAACCAATCATATTTAATCATAGGATTCTTCAAACAGCCAACGAATTTTAAGAACTAGGGATCCAAAGATAGTGTGAAGTTTCAAATTGAAAAAGACACTGCAAGAACTATATAGGGTCGCCGACAACCTAGAAAAGCTGATGACTTAGTACTTACACTACGAAATAAACAGTTACCAAAGGCATTTCATGATTTTCATCTCATTATTTATTGCTTTTAATACGCTCGGCACACAAGTAGCGTGACGTTTGAAACAAGCCTAACAATCAGAAACTTGCCTTGTGAAACTGATGCAATTTATCTATTTATTGTGATGCTACACGCGACAATTCGAAATTTAAATTGTTTCACCAACAACCAAATTTTGCATGTTCTAAATTTTCATTTGCACTTGAAGCTGTCGCTAAAAGCATCTCGACGAGGCTACTACTATGCTAAATTTATCTAAAACTATAATTGAAATAGCTGTATAAGATATGTTATGAATAATAAGCACTACGTCGTTACATCATTAAAAGGACGCATTTTATCCTCATCCGTTCCGTATTTTATCCGCATATACGTTCCGTGGATCCGCTTCCCCCGCTTCCGCATTTTAACCAATTGTGACATGTTTCACAATAACAAGTGTCATTGACCTTTGACTTTTCACAGTGTCACGTCTATTTTCAGCTTTTCGCATGTGTTGAATAATGTCACTTTAGATTTCAATAGTTTTTCACAGTTAAGCAGTGTTTAAAGCAGTTTTGACAAGCTTTGATACAGTTCTGTGTACAGAATACTACAGATTGATTCTCGTACGAGTTATCGTTGAACTGAACACGAATTTGCACCGTTGACAACGGCGTTGTGCTAGACAGTAAACAAAGACAAGGTCCGTGACCAGAGGAGGAGTGAGAACTATACCGGCATGCAACGCGGTTTTTTACATATTATCGATTTCTCGCTCTGCGCCGTCATTGTTCGGTCGGCTTTCGCTGTGTTTACACCTCGAGTTTTTAAAGGTTCGGAAAAGATTTATCGAAAAAAATTTGTAAAATGGTGGATTTTTGCACTATGCATGGAAAGAAAGCTTCGTTTTTGGGTGGACACGAGCTTCTGTGTGTTTACTGTGTGTCAAAACAGCCATTAATCTTGATTCCGGAAGAATTACCGTGTGATGAACTTGAATGTCGTGAGGACGTGAGGTTCATGTTTATAGTTTTTAATACAGATAGTTCGAAGAATAGTCCTTTGTCCAGCTGTGGTTAACGGGATAAAAATTGATGAAATGTTCGCTGATTGCGGTAGTCCTCCACTGGTACAAATTCACTCTAGTTGTGTTTTTAAGGTGAGATGATTTTTATATAAAAATAGAAATATAAAAATGCTCCTATGTTGTTATTGTATAAATACAGCAGTATTAAACGTATTTTTATTTCATATCATGTAGTTCTTCGACCCTAATGATCTACAGGAAGGAGGTATAAACAAAGAATATAACAATGTTATGTTGTGGGAGTTTGACATTTCAACATCACCAACATCCCAAGCAATCCCACCATGTGACCCAGATAGTCAAGATGATGAGCTGGATAGTGTACTTCCACCAACAGAATTACATCAGCCAACTGCATGATTGTATAACTGTTTTAATTTACCAATAAACCCTGTTTGCCCTGACAAACATTCATACACACCGAATGATGGAAGAAGCGCCCAGTGGTAGCATTGTTGTAAAGAATGAAATGGAGGAAATTCAACACTATCGCAACACTATATATAAATGTATTGACTACTGTGTGATGCATTGCAAGGATTTATACTGATCAACCAGTTATCTATGCTCAAATGATCAACCAGTTGTCTATTATTTTACTCTGCCTAACGCCAGATTATTTTACTGTCTAATACTAGACTATTTACTCATCAGGGGAGAGTGCTGACACTCAATGGGTTAAAAAACATTGAAAGAAAATGTTTAGCAGAAGCTGAAAAATTGTTTATTGGTGTCTGGTGTAATACTGATATTTCTTTTATTTGTAAGGATAGAGCTGGGGAGCTAATCACTTCCCTGATTCTACCATAAGTATTGTATCCCATGGACACCATCTTATCAGTTCTGCAGTTTTTTGACAATCTACCGTAAACCTCCACCTAAAAGCACTGGGCTTATATTCTTTCGTAAGGAATTTTTGATGGGCTTACACAAGGGGGGGGCTTATACACGGGGAGGGGGCTTATATTCAGAGGTTCATGGTATGTATGGTTTCATGATTTTCAGTGTATAGTCTTCCCTTGCTCATCACAAATTAATAAAAAGATCACACACTACATAATTGATGTTGATAAAATTTATTTATTTTAAAATCGAAAAAATATTAACATAATATTGCTGTACTTAAAGATAATTAAAATGTTTTTAAAAATAAAATTTTATGCACACAATTTTAAAATATTGCACACATTCATTTCACAAGTACACATGGATGCTATATGATAGAGTATATGAAAGGTGATGCTTTTGCTCTAGCTTAATGATGTATTAAAACAATCTAGAGGTATTACATAATTGGTAAACCTCTTCAATCGTAATGATTTGCATGATTTTCTGCAACAGATATGAATTCAATGAATGCTTTATCTTCCTCAAATGTCCATTTATGAAGTTTAACTGGGAATTTCTTTAAAGAAGTCGTTTAATCTTTCTGATAAGAAACTACAAAACAAACAGCAAAAGTGAGAGGGGCAATGTTAGTGCCAGCACAATTAGACAACAACAAAGAAACTCATGGATTTTTACCAGGATTGTGTGCATGCTTCTCCAGGAAATTTGTGTACTATAGGTTTTCTGGAATGCTCAGCATTGAAAAATAATGTTGGTGTACAGGTGGATAGAAATTGCCCAACATTGTCATGAGTTTGTGAACAAGAGGTATAAAATAGAAGGAATACATCTCCTATACAGACTAGCAGAAATACTGTTTAAAGTCAATCTTAAAACAATTGCCCAATTTTTAAAGCAGAATTCTGCCTAACTAAACACTGACTGGAGGGGTTGCAACCCCCCCCCCCCAGCCTCATATGCCTATGGACAGAAATTCTCCCAGGCAAAAAAGCATTAAAATACAATGTTACTATCACTATGATAATGACTCAAGCACCCATTATTAACATATTGTTTCATTAAAAATATACAATGTTTTTGTGTAATCATACTGTATTTTTAATATGTTTGTAAAAACATTTGTATTTTTAAATACACCTTGGCTTTGGACTCTGAAACAAAATTCGGCTTGATGTTGAATTTTTCAAACGAGAAATTCTGTGTCTTTTACTATTAGGTTTCCCTCGGGGAAATATGTACGAACATATATGCGTATGTTTCAAAATTATCATGGAAAATAGTGGTTATAGTACAATAATTTCCTTCGCGCCATGATGATTATCAGGCGGTCTATTCCCGCCATCGGCGATAGAATATAGCAAAAGTACCCCATTTTCAAACCGCGATTACTCGTCGGTTTAGTGGAGCAAATTCATGTTTTAAAGTAACAGTAGAAAGAATAAATCTTCCCGAATTCGATGACGTGTTTTGTTTTTATTTTCCTAAAAAAAAGTGAATTTGCTTCTGCATTATATCAAGGTCATTTTATTGGCGTGTCCACTGACCCGGAACAAGCATAATTACAATACGTAATTAACATAACTAAAAAGCAATTCCTGTACCAAACAAGTCAAAAATAGTTTAATTAGGTTCTTAAATAATACAAATATAAAAACATACCTTCGAAAAAACGAGATATACGAAGCCAAAATCGCAATGTATTTCAACAACTTTTCGCCAAACGTTTGTTGAAAATCGTAATTGTGAATAATAATCAGACGCAATGCATTGTGGGAAGACCCTCATTCCTCCTCTGGTCCGTGACGGTACACGTTGGCTACATGTACCTCCTTGCTTTTTTCTTCTATTGCATAAAGCTTGTTGGCGAGCCAAGCGACTGCGATAACACATTGGCTATCTCCTCGTCTTTCTCATTTAAATAAGGAGCTCTGATTTAACTGATTTCTTTAGTCTCGCAAGTTATTTCTTCGTAAACGCCGTACAAACGCTTACCCGCTTCTGTTTAATAGTTGTTTATGCTTTATTGATCTGATACAGATCTGATGCAATTTTTCGCTCTTTGTACTGAGTGTAGCCATCTATTCTGTGATGTAGAACCTTATACAGATACAGTCAATGACAATGTATAATGAATACACGGTCTAAATAATATCGATAGGCACTTACTTGAATGCCAGTAATGCATAAAATAAATTTACATTAAGCAATTATTGGATGAGGCTGAGCATGATATCAAGAATTATTCAGACCGAGGTCAATGTTATCTGCCGAAGCGAAGCTGAGGCGGATAACATAGACCGAGGTCTGAATAATTCTTGATATCATGCGAAAGCAGAATCTAATAATTGTTTTATTATACATTTAAAGACATGAGAAACGTATGTTAAAACGATTCCTGTTCATGAGGTAGGAAAAGTACAATTTGAATATCAAATACCTTGCACAAAGTCAAAGGTCAGCTAAATATTATATTTCTACTTCTATTTACCCCTTTGTGGCCTCTTTCGTGCTTTCACTATCCTTATCTGCCAATAATTTGGAGAGTTCACTTTCATTCAGCGAAGCAAATCTGCTGTCGGCCATTGTTTGTTTTTTCCCGCGCTTATAGGTTCAAGCTTTTGGCCGCGCAAGGGTTTGGGCACGAGAGAGTCCAATAATTTTTTTTTTGGATGCAAGTTCGATCCAAAAAAACCAATTATTGGACGCTGATGACGTCATCGGCGGAAAATACGTAATAAATGCCGAATACTGAAAATTAGCCGGTGCTTTCTGACCAATTAGAAACGAGAATACATATTAAATGTATAATAAATTTTATTATTGCGTAGAATCTCAAAGATTTTCTCAATATTCATGTCTGAAATGTTTATATACTTGAAAACAACACTGTCTCGCTTCTGCCTACGTACTGTACCTCTGTATAATGAGTATGCCGTGAAAATAATATCGGCACTCAATTGAATGCCTAGAATCTCAAAGATTTTCGACTCGATGTTTACGTCTGAAATATTTATACACATGACTGCACTGTCTAGGCGGTCTAGCTCCTTCATAGCTCTGTATGATGAATATACCGTCTAAATATTATCGGCAGTTAATTGAACGCCCGTAATGCATAAGATCAATTTGTATTTTGCGTAGATTTTCAAAGATTTACTCAATATTCACGACTGAAATGTTTATACATCTGAAAACAACACTGTCACTCCTTCCTAGCATATCGTCACACCATCGTGATCTACGGCTTGATAGCGCATGCGCATTTGCGCTACTAAAGAAAAAATCGGGTGTTCCGGGGTAAAGATCCTTTACACAACATGAGAAGCGAATGTTCTAAAATTTAAAAAAAATTACAATAACGGAAGCGATTCCTCGAAATTTTTGTGAACTTGGCAAAAGGATAACAGAATATGTAAATAAGTTAACTGATATTACCTAAATAACCTTCATAGTACTGACTAAGTACAATAAATCACTACGAACATAAATCGTATACACCCCCCAGGAAAGTTTACTCTATGACTGACTGATTCGTGTGAATTTGCCAGCCATCACAATAGTGTGAAGTGAAACTTCACACTAAAAATGTGATATGGCAAATGAACAAAAACAAAAAATTTACATGTCATGATTTAATACTCTTGAATGCCTAAGAAATTTTTTGCACATAAAAACAAAAAAATATGGATAGCTACAGTAAACTATCAAAGAATTGCAAAGAATTTTAATTCTTTTGAAATTTCACAAATAGTAACAGGCAAAAATGCCAACAAAAGCAACTTTAAAGCGTCAGGACAGACAGGACTCCGGGAAAACAAAGGTAAATTCGCCTATCGTATTTCCAATTTTAAGCGCACAAAACTGCACCAAACCTCTTTCAATCACTCGTAAGACCTACAATATGTTTAAACTTAATTGTGTTGTCTCTTATTCTTCATAAATGTCTTCATTTCTTTTAGATTTTTGTAGAATTCGAAGGTATTTATAAACAAAACTTACAAAACTTTTCATCTTGTTCGCTTACTGTTGTTATGCTACAGCACTCAGGGACCGGAGGTGTGTCTTTTGCAAACAAAAACGTTTCCGGTTTACAAAAATATTTATTAAAAGATTTCAAAATGAATATAATAAAGTGAAAATTGAACTTCGTGTCGTGCAATTTTGGACTGAAATCAAACTTGTGATTACAAATCGCACTCCCGCTTCGCGTTCGTGCGATTTTGTAATCACGCGTTTGATTTCAGTCCAAATGGCACTCCACGCAGTTCAATTACCATTATATATTTTGATCGAAAGCTTTGATTTATTTGCAGTGGCAGAAACATGACTTGACAAACGAATTCATAGTGAGACATTACATATTTCAGGATACAATTCCTCTAATAAGAAAAGATAATTTATATTCCAGCGGTTGCGGAGTTGCTTTGTATGCCTATGTAAGGCAGGCATTTGCTTTTAATCGAAGGTCTGATCTGGAAAATTATCTAGAGTTATACTTTGGATTGAGATCAAGATGCGTGGATTACGATGCTATGTGTGGATTGTTATAGACCACCTAACAATGTATTGCAAGAAATAGCTGTTTTGTGGACTTGCTGCAAGGCCCTTTAGATCAATTAAGACTGAACCCCGAGAAATTGGTATACAGCAAAATCCTGAATCTTATTTTAAGAAATTAATAACTTACTTTAAGTCCATTATTACGTAAAACAAGCAAAACATTATTCACTTGTCCGTATATGAGAAAGTTACTTTTTACTTATCAAGAAATGATTAAAATTCTTAGCACGAGTATTTTTCTTATAACAAGTAAACGTCATGTGCTTGAAATTAGAATTTCAATTCTTATTTCAATGGACCATTCCCCAATTAACAAAAAATTTTATCTCAACAAGTCTAGAAAAATTGCATCATAGCACGAACGAGCATCGCAAAATTAGTAATATTCCAAAGTTTCGTTGCGAAATGTTGTAAAATGCGAATAATATAGCCTTGCGAAATTTGCTATTTTCATGTCATTTTAGATTACAAACGGGAAATGGTTACCACTTTTCCAAAATTTTGATCTTAACTAGTCTAAACAAAAATTTCATCACAGCTTGAAAGAGCATCACAAAATTAGTAATATTCCAAATTTTCTTTGCAAAATGTTGTAAAATGCGGATAATATAGCCTTGCGAAGTTTGTATTTTTCAGTCATTTTGTATACGTACAGAGGATTTTGCTGTAAGCTAGTGATTATTGGTGACTTAAACGCCCATTTTGATGATAATTTATCACCTAACGCTATTCTCGGAAATCGTTTTAGACGGTGGCTCGGGCACAATGCACTGTCTCAGATAATTAAAGAACCAACTCGTGTGAAGCACAGTATTGGACGTAACATGTAGTTTTTTACCTCGCAAGGTTACCACAACCACCTGATGATTCCTCTTGGATGAAACGTCAAGCTTTGGATGCTGTTATACATGTCTTTAATCTTTATGTCCTTATGTTGTTTCAATCTAGGTCGAGTTTAACAGTCGTCGAAAGATAGATGTTTTTGTGAATGGTGATCGAGTTCAATTTGATGAACAAACAAGATTAGATTTTTCTGGAGTCTTCATTGAAAAACGAAACCAAACAAAAATTGGCATCTACTTCACTTCAGGAATATCTATAGATACCAAAGCAATTGAAGACTTTTTGACTTACCAGATTTCAATCCCAACACGATTCAAAGGTTTGAATTTGATTGGCTTATGTTTGACGTAAATATAATTGGCGTAATAATACTGTCAGTATATTCTAAGTGAACGTACAATATTTCTTTCGGATTAGCTATATTCACCTACAAAGAAATGCAAGTCTCCGAACTTATCTAGTATTTGAATATTTAGTTATGATGTTTCTTTATAGCCTGAAATAAAAATTGCTTACTGGGTAATATCTTCCTATATTATAAGAGAAATAGAAGAAACTCGTCAAGAACGAGCGTTCACGATGTGAGAATGCACTTGGGGAATGTTGGCACATGCATATACGCCCCTTTTCTCTCGTGTATTATCACACCATATATACGCACGCGGCTCGTTTTCTGTTTCTTAAATAGTGTGGTAAGTTTCAATACGGCTCATGAACATCAATAAATTTCTAAAATAATTCTTGCGAGCAATTTGAGGTAATTCATTTTTTAAAATTTAAACAGCTCAAAAATGCTGTATAGGCCTATACTCTAACCGCAACCTTAACCTTGTATTTCATTGTGTTTTAATGTCGAAATGATGAACGTGAAAATCTACTTGAGCATTTTTCAGACAAACATTGAAGAAAATTGCACGTAACATAAAGCGCGTAACATAAGGAGCCCTTAACCGCCTTTAACCCTATAGCCCTTAACCGCCTTAATTGCACGTAACATAAGGAGCCCTTAACCGCCTTTTTTTGCTTGATGATTCGCAAATTTGCAAAGACCTATTTTTTCAAAATTATTTCCTATAGCGATGAGGATTTATTATTAGGAGGAAAAATTAAATAACTTTTAATATATTTTCAGTTTGTAGCAAATTTTAGTAGGGTGAGAAACTTGATTGACATGTTTTCTTTATAATATTTTATCTAATCAGATTGAAGAACGATGAATCGCCCTTTCAGCACTCGGAAAATACGATCGAACCTAGTGAAATACTCCGCCAGACTATATGTCAAACCATTTAATAAGATATATGTATTACACTGCACTGTACGTTCTGTATATAACACAGTATAACAGCACTTGATTACAGCATAATAAACTCTATTGAGCTGTCACCGTTGTTACAGAATTTTACACCGAGTCTCCTGCGGTTTGAGATTAACTGCACTGAAGTCATTTAACCAGAGTCGACTAACATTTTTATGACTTGTATATTATTTTGTATATTATTGTGCTTTGAACAACCAGTTTTATACTATCTGTTTACGCATTGTATTTTAGGGAAAACGGCCGGTCTTCTTGGATTTTGGGATGATGACAAAGATAAAGAATTTTTATTGCCAAACGGGAGCTTTATTCACACAAACTCAAGTTATCGAATACTTCACAATGAATTTGGCCAGAAATGTAAGTTTTAAATCTTAGTTTTGAAAAATAAAAAAGTCATATTTCAAAATATTACTTTGAAACATTTTGCTGAATTTTTACTTCAGATTTAATAAGAGATGCAATGGGAAAATTAAAAAGAATGATTAGCTAATTATTTCATAACGACAGAAAATTAACTGATAAAGATATAGGCCGTGAGGTAAAATTTTGACTGTGAGATCATGACTCGGTGGTGGCCGAGAAGTACAATTTTGAATGTGAAATCATAACTTGGTAAAAGCTGTGAAGTAAAGTTTTAAGCAATCATGACTCGGTACACGTTTAACATCTGTTTTATGCTATAATTTGCTCCAATAATTAATTCCACTATACATCTTTTGAGACCGACAATGATCAGTGTGGGCGAGTATAGGTGTTGAGATTTTTTTTTTCGTTTACAGTAAATGTTGAGATTTTGGGCGAGTTTGTTTTTCGCCTATTTCTTTTTAATCCAGTTTTTCGATTAAATTGTAATCTAAACTATTATATACTAGATGATGGAAATGGTACGCCTCTTTATGTTCCAGATATTTGAAAGATTTCAACGACATTCGGATTCTTTTATGTGCATTTTTATTCGGCTTTTTAACGTGAACTTTATTTAATTAGTAACAATTCGGAAAGCCATTTTGTGTTAGAAATTCTGGACATTTTAAGCCTTGTTTCCGTCTTTAATTAGCCAAACTTTGCTTGTATAACGGCCCCTTATTATACTGTTTTACGACATATTTTTAACTTTTTTAAAACTCACAAGTTGTATTTTTCAAGTCATTCTTGGCCGAGGCGAAATCAGTCTCGTTGTCTCTGAGCAAATAGTCCACTCGGCTTTGCCTCGAGCTCGTTGACTATTCGCTCATATATAAACAACTCGGCTTCGTACTCAAATTATTAATTAGAAACTGGGTTGAATCAAATTCTCCTTTCTTTGCCTCCACAGCTCAAGCTAGGCTTGTAATATATTTGAAGTTATTGGGTCTACGCCATCCTCGTCCTCAGGGCCACGCTCGCTGCTCTCTCTCAGTGGCCCTGGTTCCCGCTGTTGAATCTGCGTCAGAATTACCACGTTGAGGCGTGCCAGACATTCCAAAGCCTAAAAAAGCCTTTCAAATAAGGGGACTGCAAGAAATGCAAATATAGAGCCGGGTGTATTAAACGAAGCAATTGATTCATGCACTTTCTAAAACAAGAAACTTTAATATAAGATTAAATGATAGGAAAAGAAGCAATTTGAGTTGGATGGATGGGAGGTTATTACTGTCCTGCCGACTGGTTTTGGGAAATCGCTTAATTTCTTAACTGTTGCTTTCGATATTTGATGTTTTTCAACAATCATGGAGAAGATTTAAATATCCTAGACATCTTCAAAATCAATGACTCTATAACTGCCTTATTTATGTTTCGATACCACCACCTTAATAATTTACTAGATTTCTTTAAACATTATTTTTTAATAAACAACCAAATTCATGAACATAACACGAGAAATGCTTCAAAGCTTCACAAATGTTATAAAAGGACAAATTATGCAAAACACACTCTCTCAAATAAAGGAGTTGATGTATGGAATTCGTTAGAAACAAAACTTAATCAAATAAACTCCTATAACACCTTCAAAAAAAAAATTAAACAACATTTTCTGCTATACACAATTGCCAATATATAAGACATGCAATATATAACATGTACTTCTTATCTATATGTATATAATATATAATACTTCAGTATATTGTAGCCCAATCATTGTAAAAATTCAAATGTATCTACAACATATTTAATTTATATAATACGAAAATTCTCCCTTCGTTTTCTCTTTTGTACGTATAGCATATATAGGTCAAAACTTTCTGATTTTACACATTGTATTGATTGACTGTAAATGATTAATGTAATCTATCGCAAATGAACAGTAACTAGAGGCCTAAATAAAAAAGTCTATCAAGATTTCTAGTAGGTCTCTAGCCCAAAATCTTTAAATTATTGTAACATATTTTAAGTAGCTTTTTTTTATATATACATGGGAAAACATTCAATAAATAAAAAAAAAAAGAAATGTTTATGCCGTGAAGCCAGAAAGCAATCGTTATTGCTCCTTTCAACTCCCTAATGGAAGTGCAAATTGGGAAACTTACGGCTATAAATATGGGCGTAAAGGCTGTTGTTTTGCGCAACGACCACAACGTTAAAGATTTGTGTAATTTACTTTTTACTGCCAAGTTAACATTTATAGCATACATTTAAATAAATTAATGTCTGTATTCTGGATTAGGGGTTCAAGACGCCTGGCCACGGTGGGAATCGAACCTACCACCCATTGGAATACTATCCCAAGGCTCTGTCAACTGAGCTACGCGGTCGGTTCGGTTCGAGTAAGCGATATTTTAGAACTGAGTCTAGTTCCTTCGATATCAGTGTAATCTAATAATCATGGTATTTACTGTGTTGGTGTAATGTAGTCAGGTGATAAGATGCTTGTGTGATGTTACTCTGAGTGTATATTCACATTGGGCAGGCTTGAAAAGTATGCCTGGCCACGGTAGGAATCGAACCTACAACCTTTGGAATACTAGCCCAATGCTCTGCCAACTGAGCTACGCGGTCAGGTCGGTTCGAGTATGCGATATTTCGGAACTGAGTGTAGTTCCTTCGATATCAGTGTAATCTAATAATCATGATATTTGCTGTGTTGGTGTAAAGTGCTTGCCCAGTGTAGATATACACTCAGAGTAACATCACACAAGCATCTTATTCACCTGAGTCCATTACACCAGCACAGCAAAAATTACAAATTACCTCTGCGTGGGAAAATACTGTATTAATTAATTTTCATACAGTTCTCGATCGTATTTTTCAAACCTGCCCAGTGTGGGTAATTTATAAGTTTTTAAATAATATCAAATAATTATTGTTGTTAATATTTACGTGAGAGATTAAATTTTGGAGTTGAAACAATGGTTACTTATCAAGGCAATGCAGAGGTAAACAAAGCATCACGATGAAGTAAAACATGCAAGCCTCGTGTCTCAGTCAATTTCAAAAGTGCCCATCCCCACCCCCGGACTTTTGTTGGACAATTCACATTAAAGGGAATTCCCCAACATCAGTCCAAAATATGGATTTAAAAACTCCACTAGGGAGTAGGGAGGGACAACATTGGTGAAAATGCCCTACACTTCAAGACAAAAAACACAGTTTGCTGTGTAGCAAAATAATGTTTGTAATATAACATTTCTGGAACATGCAATAGAATGCGTTCTGCATTATTGCAGCATGCTCCAGTTCATCTGTATTAAATATATAATATAAATCAGAACGTATCGGTGTAACATTTTATTGATGAATCATCGACATATCTTTGAATCCTGTTTCAATATTTGCTCACTGAAGCTAAAATTAATATACTTTGGAATCGAAATTGGAAGATGCATACTTTGCACTGGACAATTCAGGTGACTCCTATGAGTGTTGAACTGCTTTTTATATATAAAGTTAAAACTGACACAAGGTCATTTCATTAATTATTTTGTGGGTTTTTGTCTTTCTTTATCAAAAATATACATAATTATTTACAAATTTGGAAATGGCATTTCCGTTTGTTTTTTTTCAAAATTTTTCCTTTTACTAAACCCCGAAGGGCGTTCAATCTTTATGGTTTGCGTCGGTTTATATAAAATACAGTACCAGTGTATAAATATAGTATGTACAATATCGGTTAAACAATTAAAAAGTATTTACTTTATGGACCCCGAAAACAAACACCAAGCTTCTCTCTCCCCTATGATTTCACCCCCCCCCCC